CGTACGCACAACTTAAGAACAAATCTGTGCGTACGAATGGTTCTTGCATGAGGCCCATTGTTTTATTAAGCTGCAGAGGCCACAGACAGGAAAACGTCATTGCGTTGAGAGTTGAAGGAAATCGTTTGAAGTAAGTCAAAGACCACTTGTTTTGTTGTGTCTTAATCTACCCAGAAATCAGTCAGCAAGCAGTGAGTCAACAATGAGCTTCCTTGTTGACGCACTTTTAATTGTTTYAGATGCATTTCCTCCAAATCAATTTTGAAATATAACTTGAATCAGGTGCCTCAACATTTGCAGTGTTTTTAAACTTTCAGCAGAATCTAGCAGCTTGATTGAGCATTTACTATGCAACAAACACAGAGTGACTGTAATCAGTGTCGTGGCCACAACAGTCATTTTTCTGTAATAATTTGAACACAAATATCTACATTTCAGCTGTTAGGGGTAGAATGAGAATCCAGCAGCTCCTCTCCCGTCCAGGTCTCTGTGGAGGTTCAGATCCTGTGGAGATCAGGCAGAGAGAGCAGATCTTAGAGAGATCAATACTCCTTAGTGGATTTCCTATATCAACCACAAAGAAATCCTACCATCTGTGACATATAGGTTGAGCGTATAAGTCACTGCTGGATGGGATCCAATCCAATAAGTCGCTCTCCGCACCGTCTGTTCTTGTTGTGTTGGAAATGCTGTACGGGCTCATAGAGGTGGATGAGCAGAGACAGCAGGTAGCAGCAGCACCAGGTGGAGCGTGCATGTCTGTGTTTTTAATACAGCGGTTAATGGTTTACTTCCTTTTTCAGTGCTGCTTGCCTGGATATTTGTCAAGAAACAAACAACAAAAAAAGTTGTGTTCAAATTAAAAGGTGCAAAAAATAAGAAACAATCCAACAATCACGAGACAGATTCAACGTCCGAATTTATGCTTGCTAATGTCTGCACAATATGGGCACAGAAATTTTAAATAAGAGAAAAGTAAATCATTGGTTTGCTCACCTCTGAGGAAATTTGAATTTATGTTGTTTGATACCAATTTTAAACAAGTTGGTCCAAGAAGTTATTGTGTTGAGCTGAAAGAATTTATTCACCTGACTAATTTTCCTTTTTACTTTGCTGTTATTTTGAAACAAAACCTTACACAGGACTAAATAATACATACAATTAATCAAATGCTTAATAGAAATATGCATCCCAATGTCAATTTCAAACTAAATATAGAAAATGAAAACACAAAGTGCTGTACATTCCTACAATAAACTGTCCAGTGTGCACATATTACCATCAAACAATGAAATGCTTCATTTTAAATAACAACTAAAGCCAAAAAATAAAAAAAGGTTGAAAATCTAAATAAAATACTGTACATAAATTTGCCACGTTTCCAATTTGGGGTTTTAAATTTGATTTAAAAAATCTGCTCATCAAGAGAAGGACGAAGTCACGGGAGACTTGAACCACTCTTTTACACATAATTTGGAAAGTGAATGTCAGAAACAGAACAAATGACAGTACAAGCAATGGGAATACTGGAACTCACAAACATCTGGTTTCTATAAAAGAAATGTCAGCCAAAGAAGGGTTTTTATGAGGTGCAAACATTTTCAGCTTGAGTGAAGAACAAAGTGACTTACAGTGATGCATCTGAGTGAGAACATTGTGTTCTTCTGCCAGTTGAACCAGTTCTGCTGCTGCAGGCAGTTTRACCCTGTGGACAGGAAACTAGGTGAATTTTTATGTATTGTTTAATAAAACAGGAAATAATAAAGTGACAAGCTGATCATTTTAGTTTTATAGGGACGATTTGATTGATGCATTTAATTTGTTAGCGTCAGTTCAACACAAAGACAACAGACGTGATGATTATTCTCTTATTTGAGAAAAAAAAACAAGATTTTAAACCTGCAGCATCACAGTCTCAAAACAGCTTGATGAAACAAAAGTCGTTAAAATAAACAACAACACAATCTAATGTGCATGACCTCTACATTCAACAGTTCAAGAAGATTTAATGAGATCATTGCGGAGGAAACATGTTTCACAGTGAGAGTCCTGTTTTGACCCTAAACATCTATACATATACTGTGTACAGTAAAATACACACAAGTGCTCATTACCTAATCTGAACAGGAGTATTAAAACATTTTGGACAGACATCATATATATAACCTTGCAATGATGACATATAATGCTATTTTTATGTGACTTTTAGACAGCTGTCAAAATTTGCATGCAAATTCAATAACAGTGCTGATTTACATATTGGACATATAAAACTCAAACAGATACAGCGGGTAAAATAAGTATTGAACATGTCACCTTTTTTCTCAGTAAATATATTACTAGAGGTGCTA